TTTAGATGTAGGGAAGGACAGAGGATCTTTCCATATATAAATACGTCGTAGCAATTATAAGCCAATACGTAGAGAGATTATTACAGCAGTGTTACTCTTAACAAGTTTGTGTTTTTTTATTTTCTTTCTTTAGGAATATGAAAGAACCAAGCCATTTAATGATGCAAGCAAAGTGAAAAGCTTACCTTATTTAATGTTTGATGATGTAAAGCGGAAAGTTTTTTACTACAAGAGAGAAAAAGAAATGAGCATTGCTTCTTTTTTAGTGTGAGAGACCTCTTTTTGTTGGAAAATGGAAATGACGATGATCTCTTCTCTTTCTTTTTTGCCTTTTCTCTGTTTTATTGAGAGATTATTATTGTTTCCCTTGGAGACTCCGAGAATCTTTTTTTTTTTCTCCCTTCTTTTTATATTCATTTATGACACTTAACTTATGTAATCATCATTTAGATCAAATCCTGGATTTTTTCTTTGTTAATTAACACAGTCTGTGATCCTAAATACTATAATGGATCGACAGACCAAAGACCATTCATTTACACTTATGCCCACCAACAACGTTTTTAATACAGATCTACTACTGTTTGAGGATCTGTCATTTTAATATAGTAAAGAGAAAAAGATGTGTACAAAATATATGTGGATCACTCTGGTTTTTTCTTTCTTTCCTCCTTCAACAACTAAAATAACTACAATGGTCAAAAGAATTTGGGCTATACAGAGGCTGAAGGTGGTTCTTTGGACGCAGAGATACTATCTGTAAGGTCACGGCCACTTGTTTCGAAAGGGAATAGACAAACGCAGATTCCTGAGACAAGAATCACAATCTCAAAGAGAAGAACAGCCATCGTCTGATGGCATCCGTGAACTAACCCAACGGCTACCAGTGGACACAAGACTCCTCCGATTCTCCCTACCGAGCTCGCCATTCCTACTCCAGTCGTTCTCACTGCTGTCGGATATATCTCCGGAGCATATATGTATACCACCGTGAAAGCAGCCGAGATGCAGATACGACCGCCAAACAGAAGAGCAGTAGTTATAAATGGAGTTTGATGAGATAACAGAGGAAGAAGGAAAATGCAGCACGTGAATAACATTGATGCCATTGAAACTTTTCGTCCAAGTCTATCCACCATTGCTGCTGATAACAGTAGACCTGGAAACTCTGAGGATGCCACAGACAAGAAATAAGGATTAGACTTTTTATTAATTACAACCGATTTGGATTTCTTGTGATAACAGAACTATATGTATGTACCTGCAAAACTGGCGATGAAAACGGCTCTATAGTTAACATCATTTGAATTTCGCAACTGTTTTTCGGTTGGATAGCATCTGTTATGGGAATTGTTCAGCTCGGTGGTGAGAAGGACAACACCATAGTAAGCAAAAGCATTTCCGAAGAACACAATCCATAGTAGCAAAGTCCGCTTGATTAGCGTTGGGGATAGAAGAGCTAGTAACGAGAAACCTGGTTCCTTATCAGCTTTTAGTACAATCTTCGACACAGAAACTGCTTCTCCAACTTCTCCAGGCTTGAGAAGATGAGTGTTTTCTGTGGGAATGTTTTTATTATCTTCCAACTCGGTCTCCAACTCTGAACTGAGAACACCCGGAGGTAGTTGGGTTTCATTCATTCTCGCAATCTTCTCTAATATAGAAAGAGCTTCAGCTTTCCGGCCTTGTAAGATTAAGTACCGAGGAGACTCAGATGTCCACCTATAGAATAGAAGAAGCAGTGATGAAGGTATAGAGGAGAATGCAAGTAACCACCTCCAACCCAAACTTGGCATGACTAACTGCAAAAGATGATCAAAGTGATGTGAAAAGCTAGCATCCAATTAATACTAGAAAATAAGCAAGAAAAGGCATGAATTGTACCCAAGCGAGGGAAGCCTCAAATATGGTTCCAACAGTCCAGAAAGCTGAGAAAACAACCATCCAAGTCCCTCGGCTTGGCGCAGGTATGAATTCAAGATACCAGGAAGCAAGAACAGGACCTCCTCCCAACCCGAGACCAACCAAACAGCGGAGAATGATCAACCACATGTAGTTTGGTGAAAATGCGCTCAAGAAACCAGCTACAAAAGTCACCACCGCAGTTATGATAAATCCTTTCCTGAGGAAGATAAGGCACAAACACCAAATCAAATGGAGCCGCAATGCGTCATAAACAGAAGATATGACCACAAACAAAAAGTTCTTATATCATTAATGAACATTGACAAGATACATAGAAGCTCAATGAAGGAAGCGTCATAGACTGAACATACAACTTCAGAGATCATTCAGTTGAAGAGTTATAAGTAATCATACGAACAAACAGAAAACTATAGCCCCTCTTCAGAAAATCCCCTTTTGAGATGAGTGTAACAAGCAATACAATCTATGAACAAAAGGGGGTATACTAAAGCAAACAAGATTCAAATAAGTTACCTGCGGCCATGTTTGTCAGAAACAATGCCCCAAGAGTAAGCTCCAATGAGCATACCAGCAAAAACAACACTGGTTATTAAGCTTTCCTCCCGTGCAGAGAGACTCCAAAGAGATTGAACAGCAGGCCCCACGAAAGAGAGAAGCATCATCTCCATGGCCTCTGCAACCCAACCCATTCCAGCGTAGGCAAGGACGTATAGTTGGAACTTGCCAAATCCCATCGCCACAAGAGCTTCATCAACAGTGAAACTAGGGTTCCCATCTGCCATTTCAAAATCTGAGAAAGAAAGAAAGAAAAAAAGAAAAGAAATTGAGAATCACATTCATCAAAGATTCAAGAACCATTATCGGATTACAGCTGATAAATGCTCCAAATTCACGACACACTCGTTGCTGATAATCACATCCCAAGAGGGTCTGATCACGAGAGCAAAAGGGAAGTAAATCCCAATTCTAAAAACGAAACCTTTACCATGAATTATCACGCATCGCGGTGGGAAATTACTGGGTGTAGATCAAAGGCATGAAATTGATTGAGAAAGGGGAAAGAAAACGAACCTGAAGGACGTTGAGCTTGAAGCAAATGCAGATCCTCTCCTCCACGTTTTCAAGAGAATGAAACAAGACAATTTGCCAGAGAAATCACAAGGTCAACGCCATTTTAATTCGACGACAATGGAGCGAAAATGCAGGTCACTGGCCTATGAGGAGAAAAAATCACGTGTGGAAGGAATATTCAATTTCAATCTCTGTGTGTCTCTGTGGTCTTGTACGTACGCTGAGGAAAATAACTAACGTGTGACGCGCCTTCAAGTCTCCGTTGAATCTCTTGACCGAACTTTTTATTTATTTATTTGGGCCTATCCTTTTATTAATAAGCCCAACTATATAAGGACTTTTTTACAAAGCCCATTTGTCTTTTTCTGTAGCTCCCTAAATGAACGAGTGGACCCAACTCTTGAATAAAGAGACTAAACCAAAACATAGGACAAAAAAAAAGTGGTCACCTTTTGTGGGACTATAGATAGATAGATTGATGGTGAGATATTGGCCAAAATTGCAAAATGAGAATTTGATTTATCAAACCTTTAGTTAAGAAACACTTAAAATGCACATGTTATTCTCTTATAGTATGAGTACTAAAAATATATGTATAAAAAGTATGATGAGATTCGAGATTTAGGGAAGTAATAATAATAATAAAGGATGGGTGGGCTAAAGTGATTGAAGGTACCCCCACCAACCTATTATTTACTTAGAAGCGGTTTTGAATTATTGTCAAAAGGAAATATAAAATATATATATATGCAAAGATTGAGACATTCCACCAGTTGATGCCTCAAAGCTTTCTTCACTTCCCAATCTCTTTCAATAATCTAAAAACTCGTAATTATGCAAGAAGAGAAGATCGTCTTGTTTCATTACCATTAGTGTAGTAGCTATGTTGTTATTTTTCAGCTTCATGTGTTATATGTTAGTTTAATGCTTCCAAATAAGAGAGATAGTACAAGTTTGTACCATCTGATAGTTTAATAATATATTAGGGTGTTATTAGAAAACCATATATGTATGTTATGTACAAAACAGGTAAAAAGTTAGCATTCGGTGAGATCATTCCCTAGTCTCTATGATGAGCATTGCATTTTTAAAATTATCTTAATTATGTGGTAAAGACTAGAGACAAAAATAAAAGTGAATTGATATGTGTGGCTAAGGCTAGCTTGAGATATATACATATGTCCCACATACAGCTTTAGACGGATGATGCTAATAATTTGTCTTTCCTTTTGGAAGTTTAATGATCATTAGCTTGATTACTAAAAAAATAAATCATTGTTTCCAAATGCACTAGAGAGAGAGAGAGACCCGTCACTATGATTTTTGCTTACCACTTGTGATCTCTATCAATTAGTAACAATTTATTTCGTGATTTGTTGTTTTTCTTACCATTCTTTTTCTTATATATTTATCTTATACAAGCGACCTTTTTTGTAAAATATATATGTATATTATTGTGTTCTTCGTGTATACAAAAAAAAAGACTCATTCGTGTTTAACCTTTTTTAATTGTTTATTGATAAAAAAAAATGAAAACAAAGTTGACATTAATTTGAGAAAAATACTCAGCTTCCTTGTACTACTAGAGAACTCCAACCCCTAGCAAAAGAAGTTGTGTTCAACTTATAATAATTTATTCATCAATACAAATACAAACGTTAGGAACATCTCCTCTTTGTATTTTACCAAAAAAATATATCGCCTCTTTGTAAAAATACAATATTCAGAACTAATTCATTTAACGCAATAATTGATTTGACTAGCGATGATGATTAGGAAGAGAAAATGAGAGACAGAGAGAGAGAGTTAAGTGACGACATCAAATTTATTTTATTATAAAAATTAAAATAAAAGAAGAATTGAAGATAAAATAAAAACAAAGCGTGTGGCAAACCGTACGACCACTTGGCTCCTACGTGGCAGATGAGTTAACGGATTGAATTGGTACGTAACTCACACGCGTTCCAAGTGAGCGTGGAACAAGAAAAGACGGTCCAGCGAGACGGAGACCAATGGAGCAAAGCCAACAGTACACTTCTCTACTCTTCTTCGATGGCGATTCGTCCCTCGCAGCCCAAATCAAATCTTCGTCTTCTTCCTTTAATTTAAGGGACCCTTCTCTTCTTCTTCAGCTTTCTTATTCCGATCTTCGTTTCATCTCTTTGAAATCGCCTTCTCTCTGTTTTCTCAGAGAAAAGTTTTTACCTGAGAAAGTTTCAATTTTTTTCGGCTTCTGATGCACATTTGGTGTTTTTTTAGGAGATAATCCCTACGACCCTATGCTATGAAGTGGTTTGGCATCAAGTATATAAAGACTTTATTATCTTACGCAGGTCCGTTTCTATTCCTCTGTCCTTTGGTTTAAGTTCCTTTTGATCTTCTCTGCGACTCGTACTTACTTCTCTTTCATGTTTCGGTGCCTCGTGTTGCATTTCTTGAAACAATTACATTAACCACATTCATTTTATCGTTGCTCCTCTCAGTGTCTGTATATTACATAGTGAATCTCAATCTCGGTTGTTTTAAGTTGTACCTCAAGAAAAAGCCATGTACTTTTGTTGCTCCATTTCCACAGTTTTTGTTCTCAAGTAGCATTAGTAACTTGTCAAGTTTGCTTGGATTCTAGATCCAGCCAAGATGGATCACTGGATGATTCTGTATGCCTTGTCCTATAAGTTAACTAAACAAACTGACTCAATCCTTTTCACTAACCTGTTTATTGGCCCCAACATTCTTATGTCAATCATCTTCCTCTACTAATGTTTGGTTTTGGTTCTCAGGGCTTGAGGGCCAACTGCAAACTTATGGCGGATCTTGTTAAGAGCCTTGATTGTTGATAAGAAACCGATTTGGAAGGTTCATCAAAGCAATCATGAACAGACATAGCCTTGTGTCTGTGGCACCAGATAAATGCAATGAAGAAGTTGGTCAATCTTGCTCGTCTTCTTTATCTCCGGTTCATAACTTTCTGAATGTCCAGCCAGAAACCAGGAAATCTCCCTTCATAAGATCACAATCTCCAGATTCACCTGGTCAGCTTTGGCCAAAGCATAGTTCTCAGAGCACGTTCTCTCGGTCTTCAACCTTCTGCACAAACCTCTACCTGTCTTCATCTTCAACCTCTGAGACTCAAAAACATCTAGGAAACTGTCTTCCTTTCCTGCCTGACCCCTCCTCTTACAGCCACTCAGCCTCTGGAGTGGAGTCTGCAAGATCTCCATCTATTTTCAGTGAGGATTTGGGCAATCAATATGATGGAAACAACTCCGGGTCGCTTGTCAAAGATTTTCTTAATCTTTCTGGGGATGTTTGTTCCGATGGTGGTTTTCATGATTTTGGCTGTTCAAATGACAGCTATTGTTTATCGGATCAAATGGAACTGCAGTTCCTGTCTGATGAGCTTGAGCTGGCCATCTCAGACCGTGCTGAAACTCCCAGGCTTGATGTAAGTTAATCTCAGTATTGTACATCTCTTATGAGTTTGCATCAGTTACTTTGCATAGCTATGAAAAATACTGACTTCTATTTATTACTTTCGGTCTTTGCTGTTGATACATAGAGTGTGGAAAATTCAATTGCTCCTTAAAAACTTAGTTTCTGGTTGATTCAGGAGATCTATGAAACGCCATTGGCTTCGGTAAATCCAGTTACCAGGTTGAGTCCAAGCCAAAGCTGCGTTGCTGGAGCAGTGTCTACTGACGTAGTTTCATCTCACCCTTCTCCGGGATCAGCAGCCAATCACAAGCCGAGAATGAGATGGACTCCTGAGCTCCACGAGTCTTTTGTAAACTCGGTGATCAAACTTGAAGGGCCCGAAAGTGAGTTTAGTAGATTTATGAGTAGGCACATAAATTAGAACTCTAGCTACTCATGTGCTTCTCATTGGTTAGACATCCTTTGTTCTCTTATCATCTTTTTGCTAATAATGCTTAATCCGGTGCTGCTTCAAACATGTAGAGGCCACTCCAAAGGCTGTTCTGAAGCTCATGAATGTTGAGGGATTGACGATCTATCACGTAAAAAGCCACTTGCAGGTACTAAATTAGTTTGAGTCTGACGAAAAATTCACAAGTAGATAATACCAAATTATCTGAATATCTCTGAAAAATCATGATTTTGCAGAAGTATAGACTAGCCAAGTATATGCCAGAGAAAAAAGAAGGTAAAGCCTCCAACTTGTTATTGTGATTACACAGGTTCTCTGTTCCTGCATAATCATTAGCCATGATTTTGATCTATCTGACAGTTTTTCATTCTTTATTTTCCTTGTTTACTTCTCAGGAAAAAAGAATGATAACTCAGAAGAAAAGAAATTGGCTTTTAGTAACAGTGAAGCTGACGGGAAAAGGAAAGGGTAAAGCATTGTGGTTATCTACTTCCATGTTCAATCCGCCGACATTTTTCAACATTATCCCTAAAGTGACTCTTTTTCCATGGACAGGGCCATACAGTTAACTGAAGCTCTGCGTATGCAGATGGAAGTTCAGAAGCAGTTGCATGAACAGCTCGAGGTTAATCTGATGACACTTTACTTCAGATACGTTCGAGATTTTTCACTATAAACAATCCGCTAAATTGATCAATGTGCAGGTTCAACGGGTGCTTCAGCTACGAATTGAAGAGCATGCTAAATACTTGGAAAAGATGTTGGAAGAACAACGCAAAACCGGAAGGTTGATTTCTTCTTCTTCTCCTTCTCAGACAGTGTTATCACCTAGTGATGAATCTATAGAAAATTCTGAAAACCTGTCCAAAACCAAAGCATCTTCGCCTCAGCCATCATCATCTACAAAGAACAAAGCTTCTGAAACTGAAGGCAACATGTGTGAAAGCCCTCAGAAACGTCGCAGGCTTGAGAACAAAGCAGAATCTGAAGATCCTAAGAGGTAGCGAGATATCTTCAAGTATGTAAATATGGTATGTTTTGTGTAATGTGGTTAGAGAGAATGAGAGATGGTGGTGATCTCTCAAAGTAGATGTCGGTAATCTATATCTATGTTGGCGACGTGTAAACTTATAAAGGATCTCGAGGATGTTCCTTTCATTAGCTTGTTATAAGGATCACTCAAAGTAGATGTTGGTGTTTTGAGGATACTTTTCATTTTAGTTCTATATATAAATTAAAAAAAAGATGAAAAATTTGTCTTTTTTTTTCATTGCTGCTTCAATGAGAAACATCTGATAGAACCTACAATTCCCAGATTATGTATACACTATTAAAAATGACTTTTTTTTCTGGTTAACGAAGAGAGAGAGAGAGACTAAGGTAATTAAATAGACCTTCATGTATGCAATTACTTACGGGAAGCAAAACAACTTAAACAAAAGTTCTTCACTATCATCACTCTCTCTCTCGAAGCTCAAAATCAAGGGTTTCGTCTTCTCTTGTAAACCGACCACTCACTGTGACTCTTGGACTCGCTTTGACTCAGGTATTCCAACAATGTGTTTCTTTTTTTTTTTGTAGTTTTGGTTGGTTCTTCCGTACAAAAGTTGTTTGCTTTGATCTTCTATGTTACCATGGAGGAGATGGTGATAAATAAGTTTGATAATTCTTGAGATAACTATATGGGTTCATCATTTCGTTGACATGTTTGCTAGTTGTTTAAGCATTCAAGCTGGTTTCGTTTTCCGTCATTGTAGAGACATTAAAATTTTCGTTTTTTCTTCTCTCTCTCTCTCTATTACCATAAACATGAATGGTTTTAAATCTCTGAGATCAAGTTAGTGAATTATGGGTCGATAAAAGCCATTTAAAATTCGATTGTGATGCATGTTCGAGTTTGTTTCAAAAACTGTAGTGGATTGGAGTGCAGGTAACGGCTGGAATCTGAGTTGTGTGAGAAGCTAAAAAGGCTTCTAAATTTGACCCATCCTCTGTATCTTCTGATTTGAATGGCTGTACCTTCATGGCTGTTGTGTGGACAAGAAGAAAATTGGGGTTCAATGCAGCTACTGTAAGAAACATATGACTTCCTTCCATCGTCTGAAACACTTGGGTGGTTTACGAAAGAAGTAACTCCCTGTGAACAAGTTCTTAGAGAGACGTTTTGAAAGATGGTGATGGAGGAAACATCTGATTATACTGCTAACAGAGTTGAGGAAGTCCAAATGGGTAATGGTCATAAGCGTGGAAGAAGCCAAGATTCATCCAGCAAAACTGTTAGTATAGATGAACAGGATTTGCTGTCAAACAAAGCCCAAAAGTGGTTCTTCCAAAAATGTGTCAATTTTTCAGCTGTGGATTCCCCAAGTTTCAAAGAAGCATTGAAGGAAGTACAAGATCGTGTGAATAAGATTAAAGCTTCATGGGCGATCACTGGGTGCAGCATCTTGTTGGATGCTTGGGTTGACCAGGAAGGCCACGATCTGGTTTCTTTTGTTGCAGATTGTCCAGCTGGGGCAGTGTATCTGATATCCTTTGATGTTTCGGATATTAAAAACAATGTCACCGCCTTAACATCACTAGTAAATGGGCTCATTGAGGAAGTAGGAGTGCATAATGTAACTCAGATTATTGCATCTTCAACCTTTGGTTGGGTTGGTGAATTGGGCGAGCAATTTGCGGGTCACAACAATAAAGTTTTCTGGTCTGTGAGTCTATCCCATTGTTTCGAGCTTATGCTGATGAAGATTGTGAAAATGTATTCCTTTGGAGACATACTTGAAAAGGTCAAAAGCATCTGGGAGTTCATCAACAACAATCCCTCGGTTTTGAAAATCTTCAATTGTCACAGTCATGGAAAAGACATAACAATCTCCTCCGAGTTTGAGTTTGTTACGCCATATTTAACTTTAGAGAGTATTTTCAAGGCGAAGAAAACCTTGGCAGCCATGTTTGCTTCATCTGATTGGAACAAAAAAGAGGCCATAGCTATATCAACTTTGGTGAAAGATCCCTCCTTTTGGAAAACTGTTGAAAGAGTTCTGAAATGTACATCTCCTTTGATTCGCGGTCTACTCTTGTTTTCAACTGCCAACAATCAGCATGTTGGATATATTTATGACACTATGGACAGCATAAAGGAGTGTATCGCGAGGGAATTCAATTACAGGAAACACAGTTACAAGCCGTTTTGGGATGTGCTTGATGAAATCTGGAACAAGCACCTTCACAATCCTCTTCATTCTGCTGGTTATTTTCTGAACCCGGGTACTTTCTATTCAACAGATTTTCATCTTGATCTAGAAGTTGCAACTGGTCTTATCTCCTCTCTGCTTCATATGGTACAAGCATGTCACATTCAAGTGAAAATCGCCACACAGCTTGATATGTACAGACTGGGTAAAGAGTGCTTTAACGAGGCCAGTCAAGCTGATCAGATCTCTGGAATGTCTCCAGGTCAGTTGCCTTCTTGACTTTTGATCTAGTTGTTTAATTTGCAAATACTTGTGTTGGTGAGCAAAGGGCTTTTTGTCTTTTCTTTTTTCTCTTTGCAGCTGAGTGGTGGGCTCAAAAGGCAAGCCATCACCCAGAACTACAGAGTTTTGCATTTATGATTTTGAGCCAGACATGTGAAGGTGCTTCGAGGTACAAGCTGAAGAGAAGCTTAGCAGAGAAGCTGTTGCTCACAGAAGGACTGAGCCACAGGGAACAACATCATCAGGAAGAATTGGTATACGTTCATTATAATCTTCAGCTACAACAAAGCTCGAAAGCCAAAGCAAATGAAGAGTAGTGAAGTGCTTGTGCTGGTGTTAGGATCAATATTAAGCAACATTATTCATGTATGCTGCTTCAGTGAGAAACACATGATAGAACCCGAAATTACAAATTGTGTGTATAGATCACCAGGAACAAATGATCTGAGGGTCTTCATACACAAGTTGTTGTTTTTTTGTCCAAAAACAAGATACATACGTTAATATTTATACAAAAGAAGTTATGGGTTAGGTTTAGGTGGGCTTTGGTTAATATGATACAAAAAGAAGCCATTTTGTTGAAACCTGGAAGAATGACAACAATGAATGATCTTCCAAGAGATTTGGTAGAGGAGATACTCTTTAGGGTTCCGTTGACATCTCTGGGAGCAATACGATCTACTTGCAAAAACTGGAACGTTTTATCGAAAAAACAGATCATTGGTAAAAAGGCAACAGCAGCAAGGAAGCAGTTTTTGGGGTTCATTATGATGGATTATAGGGTTTGCTCGATTAAATTCGATCTGCAAAACGAGGGAGAGTTCGTTGATCCATCTATAAAGCAAGTAGATATACTTAACCAAGTCGAGATATCTAGAGTCATTCATTGTGACGGCTTACTCCTATGCGTCACTAAGGACAGCTCAAGGCTTGTGGTATGGAATCCCTATTTGGGGAAAACTAGGTGGATCCAACCCAGAACCAGTTTCCACAGGTCAGACAGGTATGCTCTCGGATGTGATGAGAACCGTAATCACAAAATCTTGAGGATTTTCGGTGATTCAGGATATAGCCAAGATTTTGGTTATGAAATTTACAATTTTAGCTCTAATTCATGGAAGGTTTTTTATGCCACTCCCGGGTGGAGTATAGAGTTTTGTCATCCTCAATCCGGCGTGTCTTTGAAAGGCAATGCTTATTTCTTGGCTCAAACGCACAAAACAGTGGAAGCACAAATGAGAGGGGAGGTCCTACTCCCTTTTGATTTTAGAATGGAAAAATTTAGAGCAGAACTGCCTCTGCCTTTTCACTCCTATGGTGCAGATAGTTTTTTGTCTTTATCTTGTGTCAGAGAAGAGCAGCTTGCGGTATTATATGAAGGCTGGAGGTGTGGTCACACAGTGGAGATTTGGGTTACGAATAAGATCGATCTCGGTTCAGTGTCGTGGAGCATGTTTTTGAGATCGATCTCTAGTTGTCACCTTAGTCCTCTAGGTAGGAGTTTCTTCATTGATGAGGAGAGGAAATTTGGTGTGGTTTTCGATCTAGACAACGAATTTCCAAAGAATAATACCCCTTGCAACCAAACAGCCAACATCATTGGACAAGATGGATACTTCAAATCTGTGAATATCAGAGAGGCTAAAATTTACAGGAAACCTCACAGATTTGGAAAGATCCTGCTTTACTATTTGCAACCACTTGTGTGCTCTTCTTCTTATGTTCCAAGCTTAGTGCACCTGCAGCAGATCAACCAACCTCACTCAGGTTGATATATTAGCAATTAGTCATATCCATTGTCGATACTTTACTTGCTTATTGCATCTTCTTTGATTCATCTGAGAGTTATTTATTACATTGTATTTTTGCTATTTATCATAAAGAATTTGGCTTTTCAACTTTAGTCTCGTTTCAACTGTTGACGTCACCTTTGTTCAATAATAAACTAGAACAAGTTTTCCCTTTAATTTTGCATCAACACACAGAAATCACTTTTTCAGAGCTCCTCTGATTGGCGTTCTACTTTTTCTTTTCAACTGCCAGCAATTAGCATGTTTGATATATTAACGATGCTATGGACAGCACAAAGGAGTCTTGATACTTCGTTTTATGTGCACAGTGTGAAATTCTTGTGTTCCTTCTTCTCTAGGTCATGACAAGGATGCTTGAGTTTTTGGCGGTCCCATCAAACAGTTACTGGTTTAAGTCCAAACTTCATTCTACCGAGACAGGGTTGAGTTTTTAATCTCCAAAGCGTGTGCATCTTGTGCAAAAGTAAAGTGACTAAAGAAGACTCTGGGAGAGATAGAGTCTCTTAACTTGGAAGCCTCTAAGTCAAACAGAGTCTCTCAATAAAACGAAGAGACTAATTATGAAAGAGAAGAAAAAAAAAAAGGATTTCAATTTCAATTTGTATCCTAATTGTAAAGCCTAACACTACACTAATGCGTCCCTTTGTTTAATCCGCGGAGTCAATCAAAACAAGTTCTTCAGTTTCCCTCTCTCTCGGAAAACGAGAAAACAAGGGTTTGGTTCTGTATCTCTTCCAGGTTTCGCTGCCTTCTGTAAAACGAATTCTTCACTTTGACACAGCTACCTACCCGAGGAGGTATTCTCTCATCCCTTACCAAGCAGTGTGTTTATCACCTTGGAGGAGGCGTGTTTCAAGTTAGGGTCGACTTCTTGATTTTGATACATATGTTTCTGTTAGGCTGTAGGTAACGGACAAGTTGAGGGAATCGACAACTGCTTCCAATTTTGATTCATTGTCTGTGTTTTGTCAAGTAAACGAAATCTTGAATGGCTGGTTCTTCTGTGACGGATATTCATGAGCATGGAATTTGTGTGGACAAAAAGAAATCTCGTGTTAAATGCAATCACTGTGGGAAAGAGATGACTAGCTTTTCTCGTCTGAGGTGTCACTTGGGTGGTGTAGGTACAGATGTAACTCACTGTGACCAAGTTTCGCTTACTGTTAGAGAGATGTTCCGGGCGATACTTATGGAGGATAAATCTGGTCATACCAAGAGAGTTGGGAATATCCAAATGAGTAATTCTCCTAAGCGTCGGAAAAGCCAAGATTCATCAAGTGAGAGTGTTTCTCCTGAGAACGGGAATATGGCTGACAAACAGGATTTGTTGTCAAACAAAGCCCAAATGTGCATTGGTCGCTTCTTTTATGAACATTGTGTCGACCTTTCAGCTGTGGATTCCCCATGTTTCAAAGAGATGATGATGGCTGCAGGTGGTGGTCAGATGAGGCTTAAGATCCCTGATTCTCATGCTTTAAACGGCTGGATGCTTCAAGAAGCATTCAAGGAAGCGCAAGCTTATGTGAAGAAGATTAAAGATTCCTGGGAGATCACTGGGTGCAGCATCTTGTTGGATGCTTGGATTGATCAGAAAGGCCGCGATCTGGTTACTTTTGTTGCAGACTGTCCTGCGGGTCCTGTGTATCTGAAATCCTTTGATGTTTCAGATATTAAACACAATGTAGCTGACTTACTATCGCTAGTCAGTGGGCTTGTAGAGGATGTTGGAGTACGTGACGTGACTCAAATCATTGCATGTTCGACCTCTGGTTGGGTTGGTGAATTGGGCAAGCTTTTTGCGGGTCACGACAGGGAAGTTTTCTGGTCTGTGAGTCTATCCCATTGTTTCGAGCTTATGCTTGTGAAGATTGTGAAAATGCATTCCTTTGGAGACATACTTGAAAAGGTCAATAACATTTGGGAGTTCATCAACAACAACAAAGTTTGCAGAGATCGCAGCCATGGAATAGTCACAACTGTCTCCTCCTCCGAGTTTGAGTTTGTTACGCCGTATCTAACTCTAGAGAATATTTTTAAGGCGAAGGAAAACTTGGTAGCCATGTTTGCTTCATTTGATCGGAAGAAAGAAGAGGGCAAAGCAATATCTGATTTGGTGAATGACTCCTCGTTTTGGGAAAATGTTGATAGAGTTCGGAAATGTACATCTCCTCTCATTCACGGTCTGCTCTTGTTTTCAACTGCTGACAATCAGCATGTAGGATATATCTATGACACCATGGACGGCATAAAGGAGAATATAGCGAAGGAATTCAGTCACGAGAAACAATATTATGAGCCGTTCTGGAATGTGATAGATGATGTCTGGAACAATCGCCTTCACAATCCGCTTCATGCTACTGGTTACTTTCTGAATCCGACTTCTTTCTACTCAACTGATTTCCATCTTGATCCAGAAGTTGCCTCTGGTCTTACCCACTCTCTGGTTCATGTGGCTAAAGAAGGTCACATTAAAATTGCCGCACAGCTTGATAAGTATAGACTCGGTAAAGAATGCTTTAACGAGGCCAGTCAAGCTGATCAGATCTCTGGAATATCTCCGAGTGAGTAAACTCCTTGACTTTTGATTTAGTTGTTTTTGTTTGTAGACGCTTTTGTTGTTGAATTGGTGAGCAAAGGGTTTTGGTGTTTCTAAATTCTTTCTGCAGCTGAGTGGTGGACACAAACAGCGAGCCAGTATCCAGAACTGCAGAGTTTTGCAATTAAAATTCTGAGCCAAACATGTGAAGGTGCTTCAAGGTACAAGCTGAAGAGAAGCTTAGCAGAGAAGCTGTTGCTCACTGAAGGAATGAGTCATTGTGAACAAAAACATCTGGAAGAGTTGGCGTTTGTTCATTACAATCTTCATCTACAGAGCTGCAAAGCCAAATTAAGTGAAGAGCAGTGAAGAGATTGTGATGCAGATGTTTATATGGATTGATGCCGTTCAGCTTTTGTCAATTGTGCAGGTTTAGTTTTGTAGTTTGTATATTCATCAAGGCTCATCTTTAGAACCAATACTGATGAATCGAGCAGATATATTGAAATGTTGTTGCGCTTATTTTGTTTAATTATAAGGAGATTTGTCTTTATTAGATGTTCACAGGTATAGAGATATCAGTGTCTTCTCTTGCCTTTCCATCTTGTACTAGACTCCATGTGCTGAAAAGCAATTGACATAGGTTCTAAAGATGAGCTTTGCTTGCTTAATATGTACAAAGGCATGGAGAAAGCTGTCAAGAGACCACAAGTGGTTGAATCATTTTCTTACGTTCACTTGACAATTAATCAATCACCTAATGGTGGAAAGAAGTTGACTGTAAATCTTATTTTATTCAAATATACCAAAATTGTGAGTTCTTCGTTCAAACGATACCAAAAAAGTGAGTATGTCTTCATTTTACAACGCTCCCTTTTGGAATATGATTTACTACTTCAAATGAATTATTTACTGAGTCAAAACAAATATTTCACTTTCAAACTCAAATTCACTTCCTCGTCTGCATATAGTCAAAAATTTAATCCCAGTTAACTAAAAATCACAATTTTATCTAGATATTTTTCATTATCTACCTGAGACCCCAAAAAAATAAAATTACATGACTTTAAATATGCTGAAAACAAAAATAATTGATATGATTGCATAAAGCATGGGAAATTACCTAATACAAGTTTTAAAGGTAAAATATTAGAAATCTATCTTCTTTTGATTAATGAAAGAGGGACTAAATTTTCAATGCTATCGCATCGCTTTAAAGTGTGGAAATAACTTGCCGTAGAACACACGTATATATAGACCGTTAAATGATTTAGTATAAAATTTGTAAGTAAAATATTTATTTTCCGTTAGAGCATCTTTAATGACAAGTTTTTAGGTTTAAATTTTCTTAAAATAGAAGCCTAACTAATGCATTTCTGATCTTCTTTTAGCTAAGGAGAGAAGTATTAATGGTCAATGTAGTTGCATTCCACATTAGTAAATGTAAAAAAATTGGTAAAAAAAAAAAAAAAGTAAATGTAAAAATTTAATTGCCGCACATACACGCATAAGACGTGGGAAATTACCCAAGTTAAAATTTAAAATCAAGAGATTAACTTTCCCTTAGAAAACCTAATTAATAGATTTCTTATCTAGTTTTGACTAATGAAAAAAGGACTAGTGTCAACGTGTCATGTTTAACAAAAAAGAAAAGGCTGGTGGTCTCTCATGAACACAATTATCTACCGAGTCAAAACAAATCCATCTCTCTCCCCCTCCCAACAAAGAGTTTGTGACTTGGACCACTCTTCGGTCTTCCTTGTCTCTTGTAACCCAACCCTGAGGCTAGGACTCCGACCCTTTTGACACAACCATTAATCAGGTACTTCACTCTCTCGCTCTAATAACAAGGAGTTTTGTTTATTGGTATCGTTACTGAAAACTGGAACTGTCGCTCTTCCCGGTTCTTCAATTTATAAACTTGTTTGCTTTGTTTGATCTTTTGTGTCACCATGGACGACGTAACTGATGATGAACAATCTCGATAATTCTTAATACCCAAAAAGAAAAACAAATTTCGATAATTTTTAGGATAAGTTATATATATGGTCTTCCATTTCGTAATTTGGACTCGTTTGGTGGTTGTTTGAACATTATATATGGTCATTGTACGATTTGAAGTTTCGGTTTTTTTCTTCTTCTCTTTGTAGACACGTATTAATTTCGATTAAGTTGAGGAAATGTATGTCAAACTAAAGCCATACATATATATATGAAGATTGGTGCAGGCAGGTTCATTCTCTGTTTTCAATGGCTGGTGGTACCGACGTGAAGATGAATATTCATGAGCATGGAACTTGGGTGGAGGGGAGAACTCGGGTTCAGTGCAACTCCTGTGGAAAGCGAATGACAAACTTTTATCGTCTCAAGCTGCATTTGGCTTATGTAGGTAAAGACGTAACCTACTGCCCACGAGTTTCACTGACTACGAGAATGGCGTTTTATACGATGCTTATGGAGCTCAGATCTAGAAAAAGCGGTGCTTCTAAAAACGTGAATGCAGCTAAGCCTAGTCCTGGAAGACCCAGAAAACGTGTTTCTCCTGAGAACGAGAATGCAGCTGTGGAAGCTGACAAACAATCACAAAGGTGCCTTGCTCGTTTCTTATATGAACACGGTGTCGACTTCTCCGCTTTGGATTCAACAAGTTTTCAAGAGCTGATGACGACAGTAACTGGTGGTAAGTTGGCGCTAAAGATCCCTGACTCTCGTGATTTAAACGGTTGGATGCTTCAAGAAGCATTGAAGGAAGTGCAAGATCGGGTGAAGGAGATCAAAGATTCATGGGAGATCACCGGTTGCAGCATCCTGTTGGATGCCTGGATCGACCAGAAAGGCCGTGATCTGGTTTCTTTCGTTGCAGACTGTCCAGCTGGGGCGGTTTATCTGAAATCCTCGGATGTTTCGGGTATCAAAACCGATGTCACTGCCTTAAAGTCGCTAGTGAATGGTATCGTTGAGGAAGCTGGGGTGCACAATGTGATTCAGATTGTTGCATGTTCCACTTCTGGTTGGGTTGGTGAATTGGGGAAGCTACTTGCGGGTCACGACATGAAAGTTTTCTGGTCAGTGAGCATATCCCATTGCATCGAGCTTATGCTGGTGGAGATTGGGAAGATGCATTCCTTTGGAGACATACTCAACAAGGTCAATATCATTCAGGAGTCCATCCATAACAACCCCTCGTTGCTGAAAATCTTCAGAGCTCACAGTCATGGAGTCGACGTAACTGCACTTGCCTCCGAGTTTGAGTTTGTTACACCATATCTAACTGTAGAGAATATGTTCAGGGCGAAGATGGCAGGAATGTTTGCTTCTTCTTATTGGAAGGAAGAAGAAGCAAACATCGTAGCAGTACTTAGTTTGGTGAGTGATTCCTCTTTTTGGGAATCTGTTGAAAGAGTTGTGAGATGCACATCTGCTCTGGTTCATGGATTGCTCAGGTTATCAACTGCCAACAACATGCATGTTGGATATGTCTATGACATTCTAAACAGCATCAAGCTGAGCACCGCCTTGAATTTCAAGAATGAGAAACAGATTTATCAGCCAATATGGGATGTGGTGGATGATGTGTGGAAACATCACCTCTACAACCCTCTCCATGGTGCTGGTTACTTTCTCAATCCAACGGCTTACTACTCAGGTAATTTCCATCTTAGTCAAGAAGTATACACTGGTCTCACCTTCTCGATGGTTCACATGGTAAAAGAAGCTCGCCTGCAAGTAACAATTGCCGCACAGATTGGTATGTACAGACTCGGTAAATCTTGCTTTAACGAGGCAAGTCAAGCTGATCAGATCTCTGGAATCTTTCCAGGTGAGTGAGCTTTTTTGGTTGTTTTTTTTTTTTGATATAGTTGTTCTGTTTGCATGCATTTTGATTAATTTGTTCTCGTTACGGCGTAGTTGATTGGTGGACTCAAAACGGGGGACAACACGCAGAGCTGAAGAGTTTTGCCGTTAAGATTCTGAGCCAGACATGTGAAGGTGCGTGGAAGTACAAGCTGAAGAGAGGCTTAGCAGAGAAGCTGCTGCTCACTGAAGGAATGAGCCACTGTGAGAAAAAACATGTGGAAGAGATGGCGTTTGTTCATTACAATCTCCACCTACAAAGCCATAGTAAGTGATGAGAAAAGAAGAGTTGTTTGTGACTCCTCCATGATCACAAGCTTTAGACAATATCATTGGATCAGAGTACATTTTTACCCAGATAAGATCCATGTGTTTGGTATTCTTGCAAAGATTGACAAAATTAAGTTGTTTACAAACTTCATATTGCGCAAAATGCAAAGCCAAAGCTTTTTTTAGTTTTGTAAATTTGTATTATTTGTTAAATCCCATCGTTACGAAATTTCAATGCTGGTGGTGAATCGACTATGATCAACTTTTTATATATTACATTTTTTTTCCTCCTTTAAACTAACTATAAGCTCCAAAGTGAAAAGATTTAGAGAAATATTCGCAAGAATCTAAAAAGATTTTAAGACAAAAAAAAAAAAAAAAAAAAAAGACTCGTGGTGAATACACAACACAATAACCTTACCAAAAAAAATACACAACACAATAATTTCAACACAAAGTAGCACCATGATTTTCTGGGAAAGTGGTTTTTTTTTTTTTTTTTTTTCAAATTTCGAATATTAAACAGTTTCTAAAAAGAAAATAATATTGAAATGTCAAATTGTCAACAAAGAAAACAAAAAACCAGAAAAAGGGAATCAGGCTCCAGTCCACTAAGCTCTGACTAGAAAGCGACAAAAAAAAATATGTATAAAACATATGAGTTATATATTGCATGTGATTAATGACAAATGGGGGATGGCTTCAAGTTTGGTTTTTTTGTTGTTGTTTAATTAAAGTGAGTTTGGTCTTTTGCTTCTCTTCTTTTTAGATTTTAAATAACTTTTAGGGGTATTGGTTAAAAAAAAAAATAATAATAATAATAACTTGAAACTAATTAAAAAATAATAATAACTTGAAACTAATAAAAATAAAAATAAAATAAAAATAAAAATAACTTGAATAACTTGAATAAAAATAATAACTTGAAACTAACAAAAAAAAAATAACTTGTAAAAAAAAATGGAGAAAAAGACGTCAAAATCTAAGTGCCCGTGTAAATTGAAACTAGTGTTACAGATTCTCTACTGTTCTGTTCGACTGTATCTTTGTCTTGTTGTACTCTCTGCCCCAGTTTCATTTTTTTTTTTTAATAATTGGATAATAATAAGAAGAAAAAAAGTAGAGTCTTTCTTAGTTAAGCATTAAATGCTGACACACATTTGACAAGTTTTTTTGAATTTCAAATTGAGAAACTTTTTCTAAGTTTGGAAAATAAATAAGAGGATGGTTCTCTCTGCTCTTGTACTCGAAATTAAGGCAGAGAGTTAGATTGGGAGAATCTAGCAGAAGAAGCCTAGGGTTTGGTTTCTTGAATCACATACTTCTTCTTCTTCTTCTTTATCTCTCTCTCAGATTTTTGAATGTTCTCTTTCAGTCATTGCAAGAACTAGAAAAAGGTTTGCTTTTGTCCCCACAGCTGCTCTTTTCTCTTCTTTCTCCTTGTTTCAATTTTCTTTTGTTGCAGAATTACCCAAAGTTTCAATCCTTTTTTATGTTTGTTCTGACCCAATTATTTTGGTATAATTCTTTTGTTGAAGCCAATTAGAAAGATTTGTTTTTTTTCAGAGACCACTTGATCTGTCATTTAGGGATTGAGTCTTTAGCTTCTTCTTCCTTTTTATCTCTTCTCTTTTCAAAAAAAGTTTAATTTTACATCAATTTTGTCTAATTTTACATCAATTTTGTATGATTGAATACTTCAGATTGAAATATCTTAGCTTTCAGTCAAATTACCACAAGAAATTTCAACCTTTTGACTACACACATTAGCCACCAAATCTAGAATTTGCATGTTCAGAGATTGCATCTTCTCGCTTCAGCTGGTCATTGTGTTATCCTGAACCAATAACTGATTAACCTGTCAACACTCAAACCCTTTCAATGTGAAATTTTGACCATGTGACTGGTTTTGCTGTCTGGTCGTTTTTAAAAAGGACATGTTGCTGTGCTTCTTTTGTGTAATTTTAATTAAATTTGTCCGTATTAGATGTTCACAGGTGTAACAGTGTCTTCTCTTGTCTCTTCATCTTGTACTTGGATTCCATGTGCTGAGTAAAGCCATTGTCAACTTCCAAAATTTGTTTAATGTCTTGTGCTTACTGCTTAGTAGACAACAACATTAGTTTTTTTCTCTAAATGTTATCCTATCTCATTTATTATGTGAATCTGATTTCTGCAGGGACTATGTAATTTAACTCTTTTGTACTTGAGAGAATTGGCTGAAGTACATTTGTTGGAGAACTTCATCATTTGGTTTAATGGTAATAACTGCCAAACTCCAGAGGATGTATGACTCTCAAGTTTTAAAATCCAAGTAAGGGCTACCATCTCTTGTTCTTTTTTGTTTACTACTTCTGAGTTTTGTTTTTGCATCTCCTTACTCGTTGACTGAATTTTCAACAGATCCAATCCATTTCTCAGACGTTCTCATTCTAAAAAGAAATCCCAGGGCACAGTAACCATGTTAGAGGTATGAACATACATATATTCATTTCAGAAACTTACTCCAGATTTTATTTGTTGAAGTCCTTGAAATATAATAAGAGCTTGCTTACTGAATTTGTTCAGGGCATAGAAACTTGTGAAGAATCTACGAGCGGTGAAGCTTTTCCATATAGATTTCAACTTGAAGAGGATGTGAGCTTCTGAACTCAATAAGAGTAGTGATGATTATGTGGAACGTTTTTAGTGTTTAAAGAACTTCTCTGTTGCAGGTAAAAAGATTACAACTGCAACTCCAAGAAGAAATAGATTTGCATACCTATTTAGAGAGTGTCATGGAGAAAGATCCTTGGGAGTTATCTACTTCTTCTAGTGTTCCACATCCTGTGTGTTTCCCTAAACTCATGCTGTTGTGATTACATTTTAAAACTACTGTTTTGTTTTCGCTTATGATTCTGATAATTTGGCAGGCTCAGGAGCTTCTTTCCAATATAGTTTCGCTAGAGACTGCAGTCACGAAGCTCGAGCAAGAAATGATGTCACTGAATTTCCAACTTAGCCAAGAACGAAACGAGAGGAGACTTGCAGAATACCATTTGACACATTCGGCTTCTCCACCAGTATGTATCTCCTATTTAATTTATCACTGTTTCTTTCTTTGTAATCTTTGTTAGTGTTTAACTATGTCTTAGTTATGCAGAATTCCTCCTCTTCCTTAAGATATTTGAATCATTCGGATTCAGAATTCCATCAATCAACAGAAGACAGTCCATGTCAAGACCTGACAGCCCCAAACCAAGAATCTTCATCTGAATCATCTCCAGCAGAATCAATTGCGGAGGTACTGATATAATGATATTCCTCTTTCCTAGATTTGGTTGGTTCTGTCTAAAAGCAGAGATATAGTTTACATGAAAGAAGAAACGTATCTGACATTTTGCACCTACTAAACCAGAAAACATTGGACCCAAGTACTGACTCTCTTGAAAAGAGGCTAACGAGAAAGACAAATGCGAAGAAACTACGTCGAGGATTACCACCAAAATACCTGTGGGATCATCCTAATCTATTGTCTGAAGAAATGGTGAGATGTATGAAGAATATCTTTATGTCTCTGGCTGATCCAACAGCAACTTCAAAAGCATCCTCAAACGAGAGCCAACTCTCACCAGTATCACCTCGCGGGCATCTATCAAGCTCAGCCTCCTGGTGGCCTTCAACAGAACGGTCAATGATCTCTTCATGGGTGCAAAGCCCCCAAATAGATATCCAAAATAACGCCAATGTTTTGGCCACGGGAGATGTCTTTGATCCTTATAGAGTTCGAGGGAAGTTAAGCTGGGCGGAGATTGGAAACTATAGTTTGGCATCCGAGGTTTCTTGGATGTCTGTTGGGAAGAAACAGCTGGAATATGCTTCCGGGGCATTGAGGAAGTTCAGGTAATGGAGTTTCTTTTAATGGTTTTGTCAATATGATTTAACTGTAAGACTCAAATACATGAACATGGCTGATTCTGTGAATAGGACACTGGTGGAGCAATTAGCTAGAGTAAACCCTATTCATTTGAGTTGTAACGAGAAGCTAGCTTTCTGGATTAACCTTTACAACGCATTGATTATGCATGTTAGTCCCTTTTCCCCCTCTTCTTGTCAAGAACCATTGTTAATGAAATGAATGCTTATGAAGTGATGGTCTTTTATACGTACGTAGGCGTATTTAGCTTATGGTGTCCCAAGAAGCGACCTGAAGCTTTTCTCATTGATGCAAAAGGTTATATCAGTTGACACAAGTTTTGTTCTGTTCAGCCTTTTCATTTCTCTCTTGCCTTATTTGATTCCTTTGTGCTGGCTCCACAGGCGGCCTATACAGTTGGAGGGCACTCATATACTGCGGCGGCAATGGAATATGTGATACTGAAGATGAAACCGCCTATGCACAGGCCACAAATTGTATGAGCTTTGCACTCAGCTTCATCTTTGAGGATTTTTTGTTCTCCTTTTTCAGAATCAGTTAATCAGTTTACTCTGCTGATGCAGGCTCTGCTTCTTGCCATCCACAAGATGAAAGTATCAGAAGAACAGCGCAAGGCAAGCATTGATACACATGAGCCTCTTCTTGGCTTTGCTCTAAGCTGTGGAATGTACTCATCCCCTGCGGTAACTAACTAGCTATATGGCACCTTTTTGACGTACACTGTGTAATGTGAAGTCTAAAGATTGGAGACTTTTATCTCTTGTTGCAGGTGAGGATCTACACAGCGAATGGAGTGAAGGAAGAGCTACTAGAAGCTCAAAGGGACTTCATACAAGCATCAGTAGGACTGAGTAGCAAAGGGAAACTCTTAGTACCCAAAATGCTCCATTGTTACGCCAAGAGTTTGGTGGAGGATTCGAACTTGGGGGTCTGGATATCGAGGTACCTTCCTCCGCATCAAGCGGCTTTTGTGGAGCAATGCATCTCTCAGAGAAGACAAAGCCTTCTCGCCTCACGTAACTGCGGAATACTCCCCTTCGATTCTCGTTTCAGATACCTGTTTCTCCCCGACAACATCTTGTTGTAATAACATTTTAAATACTGTCATATGTAAAAAGCTTTAACAGATTTCATAAGAATGAACAGCGGGAGGATCAAGGTTTGATTCATCCAACTTGGGAGTGTGCTGAAGAATCCATGACAATACACGATCAAGGTTTTGCCATGGAAGAAGACCGGCTCACAAAGCAAACCAACCCAAACTTAAGCATCCTTTACACTGTTCATGATCATGATTACTATTACCCAACATACCTTCTTATCTAACGGCTTCCAAGACATTTAATAACATTGTTTATGAATCCGGATCACACAATAAGTGTGAGAAGCCTCAACATACATTATTTTTGATCACTGCGGAATACTCCCCTTCGATTCTCGTTTCAGATACCTGTTTCTCCCCGACAACATCTTGTTGTAATAACATTTTAAATACTGTCATATGTAAAAAGCTTTAACAGATTTCATAAGAATGAACAGCGGGAGGATCAAGGTTTGATTCATCCAACTTGGGAGTGTGCTGAAGAATCCATGACAATACACGATCAAGGTTTTGCCATGGAAGAAGACCGGCTCACAAAGCAAACCAACCCAAACTTAAGCATCCTTTACACTGTTCATGATCATGATTACTATTACCCAACATACCTTCTTATCTAACGGCTTCCAAGACATTTAATAACATTGTTTATGAATCCGGATCACACAATAAGTGTGAGAAGCCTCAACATACATTATTTTTGATCATTTCAACGTTTCTATTTAGTGTTGCTGATCAGAAATCTACAACTAAAATCTTTACCGCCAAAATTTTGAAGTTACAATTGACAACGTCAGCCACAACCAGTCAGCTCCTTGGTATTTTGAAATGGTCTCGAGATATCTCTGAACCTCTTTCCTAACCTAAGGATTTCTTTCGTTTTTGTCTCTTCCTACACAACAACAATAGGTCCAGAAACTTCGGACTTAGCCAAAGTATGATGACGCTTCACCTTCTGGGAGCTACTCTCACGGTTGTATGCTTCAACCTACACCATGAAAACAAAGAACAACAAAATCAAATCCTTAAATCAAAAGAAATCGATCCAAAAGGAAAACGCTCTGGATAATGAAACCTTACTGGGTTGATTTGATTATAAGGTTTATTTGAGTTCCCTTGTAGAAGCTAGACTCCATATTCAATCATGGGAGCATAATCTTTCAGATGATGATGAGAGTTTTGAAGATGGTGAAACAGAGGATATTGTTGGTGATGTTACGGGTCTGGTTACAGGGATAAGCAATGTTTAAGCCCTTCACTCGTCTGCTGATTCTCTTGACGTCTGTTTCTGCTACTTCTCCTTCTTTTGGTTGATTCAATCTGAAGTGCACGCTAGCTAGGTAGCAAACTCTCTCATGTTTTTCGTGGTTGTGCCAATAATAAATCCAGGTATTTTACTTGTGCTGTCAATCAATGCCGGTGTTTCACAACCTCCTTACTTTATCTCTTGAGAGTGACAAAGAAAGAGGCTGGCAAGTGGTGCCACTTCTCCTCAACAACTCTCCAAATCTAGGAACTTTAGTCATCGAGGTATCATCAGTTTCGTTCGATCAACACACACTTCTGTTTCTTTGCTAAAGTTACCTTTGCTTTGATATTGTACATGAATCTCCTACTGCTTTCAGGGTCTTGTGCACGAAGTTACATATAAATGCGGGGACGCCAGCGCTTGCATCCCTAAGAGGGCTAAGAAGAATCAGAGGAAGAAGGAGGAGCGGGTATGCTGTTTATCGACATGTCAAGTGAAATTGATAAACATTTCAGGGTATCATGGTGCTAGAGGAGAGCTCAAACAGATGAGTCATTTCTTGGGAAATTTGAAATGTCTTGAAACTGTCAAGGTTGGTGTTGCAGTGGATCAAGACAAGGATGCTAAAAGGTACCTGAGAATCGCCAATGCTCTTAAGAAGCTTCCCAGAGTTTCGCTAAACTGTCAGATCCAGTTCTTCTGAATTCTGTGTGTTCTTGTATGAATCACAAAGAAAGTACATGATAAACCGAATCATTAAATTAATTCTGGTTTTTTTTTAGTTTGCAGTGTATTTTTGTTGATTCCGAGCTGCTTCTATGGTTAATGGACCTCATGCATGGGATATATAACCTTAGTTGAATATCAAATTGAAAACTCGCACTGCTTGTTTGTAGTATATAATTAAAATCTGGAATTTATTAGCTTTGCCAAAAATACTACATATACAAGACGACTGGATCAACGAGTGAGTTAAGAGATCTATATCAGTAGTCGAATTCAAATGGATTCAGTTAAAAGAATCACCAAAAATAGAGTCACATGTCTATACCCTATTAGAATACAATGTAAGAAAAAATATTTATGTACCTCCTCATGGAACCTACATTAGCAGTTTGTGGAAGAGCATCTGCTCATTTTCTCATGAGCTCTCCTAAACTGGCTTCTCGAATCTCCAAATTAATCAACCAAAAATATTTCATTCTTTCTTGATTCGCCTGCCATTTGCATCCTTACTTCTGGCACGAACCCATTGACCCCATTGACAGAGAGATAACAAGTATCTATCTGTTCATCAGTCAGGAGTGGAAGCTGTTGCATCAGCAGCTCTCTGCCGCACCATCTCCATCACCGCTGCTCTGCGTCTTGTATCTGCCTGTTGCTGCTTTCTACTATAATGAGCTCTCAAGTCTCTGCAAAACACGTGTCAGATCATTAGTATACAAATCAACTTCTTGACAAAACATCTACTAATCAAGGACAATCTGCTTTCAAAGTAGTTTAGATTTACGTACCTGCATTTGGGGACTTTGCATTCGGGATCTCTGCAGTTTCGGGCATGCAATCTGAAGAGGGCCCACATTTTCTTACAGAGGCCGCAACCTCTGATCTTGCATATAATACCGTGCTTGACGAGACGCCTAATATGGCGACACCTTGGATACTGGCACTGGACAGTGCAGCATGCAACCACGTGTAGCAACAGCTCTCTCAACTGCAGTACCAATAAGGCAAACCGTATTTAGCAATAAGGAAAAGAGAAACCAAGGGATGCAAACGATTTTCTAAACATATGTTAACCGACCCTTAGCTAGCTACACCATATCCAAAAGGAATTTTAATAAATCCTAACGAGGAGCTGAGCCTATCTATTTATTTCAGCTTGATTAGTAAATAATAATGAACAAGAATACGCATATGGACAATCAATTATGTGACTAAATCTAAAAGATTGAAAGAGAAGTAATACCTGGGCAGACTGAATTTGATTAGTTTGTGTGTTCTGTACAACAGAATCTGTGGCAGATGGACGGCTAATGAGGCTATGTGGATGGTTGATGCCTTTTGAGTAGCAAGCATTACAAACATCATAGTCAGGGCAAACTACGCAACGCCAACCTTGAGCAGTTTCAAGTTCTTGCTGGCAGATGGCACATGCCGTTGCAAATGCAGGGACGGTTGGATTGTGAAGATGATAGAGAATCATCATAGAAGAGTGTTTTGCCCGCCTAAGTGTGTCATACTGATAGTGATTACCTTGGCAAAGACTCAGAAAAGCTTGCCTAGTATCAAAGAACTCGCTCTCGAGGATGTCATCGTTATCCTTAATTTCAGTAGGAACGTCATCAATGGCAACCTGCAGAGACCAAAACCTTGTCATTTTCCAACCCAAAAAGGACAAACAACAAGATTGTTAGAGCTCTTCCGCCGTAGAAACTTACAGGAAAGAGTGCATGCTTCTCCTTCTGATTGGCGGGATGTTTCTCCTTGTCCACACGGTTCTCTTCCACTTCATGGCACCTGTGGTAAAAGAAAGCTAGTGAGATGCAGCCAAACAATATATACACCTCCCAGGCACGCCTATCAGATCTAACCTAACAAACTCAGAAAACGCCGAGTGCAGTGTAAGCAACAAATAAACAAAGCGAGCCAATAAGTAAAACTTACTTGTCACAAATCTGAAAATTCTTACACTGGTTGCACACCCAACGATTTCCAGACACCATGAGAGTGCAACAATGCTTGCAACAATGTTGCAAATGAACCATGATGAAATCTTCCTTCATTGGGAGGATGATCTCACCCAGCTACAGAGAAAGAAAACAATGAAAAGTTACAGGCGAGTGAGATATTCTCTTTCTTTAACAAAGGAATGAACAGAAAAACACAATGAGTATAAAAAGTTACTTTATGCATCAGCAGGAGATCCTTCGAGGCATTAACAGAAAGGTCCAACTGACCTACTGCTTTAAGAGCCCTTTTGGATATGACCTTTTTGGGCATTAATTTTCTATTGGACTTTTTGCCATCCTCTTCTTGGCTCATTTGATCTATTAAATCCTCAGCGGCACCTGGCCAATAGTCGCCATCAAAATATGGCAACCGTGCTGCTGTTACCTTAGCTCTACATTCACCAGACTGAACGAAAAAATGGTCATAGAAGTTTGTACACTCAACCACCACTTTCTCCTTGGAAGCTTTCTTTAGCATTGCTAAATACCTGTTAAGGAAGGAGTATTATGCATCATATAATGATGTAATTTTCTCTCTTCCACGTGAAAAACAAGTATCACAATAAAATATATACTGCATACCATTCCCTAAGTTTGTCAGTCTTTGGCGTTTTCTGAATTTCAGGATGGCAATATAGAATATAATCTTCACCCTTAAGTGGGGGGCATGCCCATATATAGCAGCTTGAAAACCCACGTTTCTTACAGTAATCAAGGTAACCAATCTGCAATCCAAAAGGGACATTGCTGATTAGACTTGTGCAGCAACACAGGTGCCTGGAAGCAACTGTCAGAAGAAAAGCAGCTCACCAGAATTTCATGGTATACGAACGTACGGAGGGCTTCTCCAGACACTGTTTTAACGTCAGGTCTAAAGTACTTAACTGAGTCCAGATAGGAAAGGTATACCCGCCGCTGATTGGGAGACGCAGAATCAGTTCCAAATTCCTGGACGTACATGCCAAATAAGCATACTTCAACACCTTCAATCTTCTGAAACAACAGAACGGCCTGAATAGTACGGAAGTTGATAGTTAGCAGACATCATGTAGTAGAAGGAGAGCATAATTAGAAAACATAAAACAAATAAGAACCAAGCATATGTAGTCTGTACCTTAGACTTATAAGGGAATTCTGATGAGTAATTATCTTCACGGAAAATGTCAAGGAAACGTGGCTTTACTTCAAGTATTTTGTCGACAGATGTCACAACTCTGATAACAAGTGAGTCGGCTCCCGGAACCTGATATATCAACAAAGAAGGAAATTTGATTGGTATCTTACTTAGCTTTGTTATAGGAAAGAGCAGTTTAAGAATATAGGCTTTAACCATATAGGTGAATTTTCAAACAATAAACGGCATAAACTAGCTGATTTCGTGTCTCCTGTGTGTAAGCACAACTTGATATGTCTTTCAAAAAAATCAACATGATATAATTAAATGTGGGGTTAAACCTGGCAGCAGTCACGATAGAGATATGCAGTGGAAAATAACCCAAGATTTATCGAAATTTAATAATCACCTCATCGTAGCTTTTTCCTTGAAGTCTAGCCCTCTCCTGTCTTTCCTGCTTTAATTTCTTGAACAACCGCTGTTCTAAATGGTTGCTAAGAGCACTGGCTGGCAAACTTTTTGCCCCCAGAATAACACTTTGTGATACTGGTTTCCTTTCTCCTTGTTCCACTTCTTGTACATAGCAATTAGGGCAGGTGTACTCTGCTTGCC